TTTTGCCCTTCTGGGCCCTCCAAAATGTCCATTAACAGTCTGTAATCACAAGCACAGCAGTGAGTTTACTCTGCATTACTAAACTGAGAGGTGATCATCTGTGTCCATCACAAACATGAATTAGAACATGTGCTTTCCTGTTGGAGTTACACATTGAATATTATGGGATATGTCACCTAATGGTACTGAGTTCAGGTTATCCTAGTTTTAAAAGTAATCACACACACACATAAATGGAATCAGAGAGAAGCAACTAAAAGAAATTGTGAGATCGAGAGGTTTTTTTAAAAGACAAAAGATAGTACAGTTTTATTATGTCCTTATGTGAATAATATAGAAAAAAAAAACAAAGCTAAAGAGAAAAGAACTATTTCCAGAGTAATATTTCCATAAGACAGGACTAAGTGTGCAAGCGGAAGCCCTGACCTTGGCTATAAAGACAAAAGTTACTTTGGAAGAGCATGAAGGGGGAGTCTCTGACATGGCCCGGTGGATAAAAGCACTTGCTGCCAAACCTGGCGGCCTGAGCTCAGCCCCCAGAGCCGACATGATAGAAGGAGAGCATGGACTCTTCACAACTGGTGCTATGACCTCCACATGGGCCAGGGCATGCACATGTGCACGTACACACGTACGAAATAAAAAATTAAAGTTAAAAAAGTATAATTTGTGATTGTTTCCTCTTTCTCAATAAAATAACGGTAAAAGTAAGATGAGAGGGAGCACAGGGCACAAAGTGTTGAAAGCTGGAGACAGTTTTTAAATTACTTGGAGACGTTAGAGAGTAAAGTGTTTACTCACTGGAGATATATTCATTATGCGCCCTTACCTTCCTTCCCGGCCACTGTACGGTGTGGAAAGCAATCTGTCGTTATTCAAGTTTGCATTTTAACAGCTCCCCTTCTGGTAACTTATACTTTTGATTATTAACTTTGGGAAATTCAACTTTCATTTTACTGAGAAGTCATATAAAGTATAATTGCCTTAATATTGTGCTAGTCCTTCAAAACTTAATAAAAGAAATGTATAAGGAAGATGTACAGTCAAAGCAGTGGAATAGAACATGACATTTGCTTTCTAGTTACCAAAAATCAAGTTTAAAAAACTATAAAAAAGAATAATAATTCGAATAAAATATTGTGAGTTCCTTCCTACCTTTTTGATAAGGCTGACTTTGTAAAGAAATTTTTTAAGACTAAAGCATTTGTAAGTAAATATAAGACAGGCTGGACATCTCTAATATAAAAATTCAAATTCTGAATACTTCAAAATCTTAAAAAATTGAGGATTGACATGATGTCATGAACAGAAAATGCGACAGCTTCCTCGTGACAGGTGACAGTCAAGGTCCAGGTCCACCAGGAACAGTCTGAAATGCTTCCAGGCTCTTTGTATGAGGTGTACACAGAACAGATAAACGTCACATGTGGTCGTCGGTCCTACCACCAAAATATTTCATTATTTATGTGCAAGCGTTCCAAGATGCAAAATCACCCGAAACACTTTTATCCCTAATCGTTTCAAATAAGACATAGCCAACCTAGGTAAAACTTAGCAAAACAGAAATCAAAGGTTTTTGGTTTGTTTGTTTGTTTGTTTGTTTTGTTTTCACTTGCTAGTCCCAACGGGCTGTAATTTAGAATTGCTTAGAGAGGGAAAGCAAAATTTCCAGAGACAATACTAATACAAATGCTGCCTTTAAAACACTATGGAAGGGACTGGGAAGGCAGCTAGAGAGCACGAGGCCCTGAGATCCCATCCTCAACATCCTGTAAAAGCTGGATGCAGGGGGCAGCAAGATGGGGAGAGCCCATCTCTAGATGCAGAGGGCAGAGGTGGGTCTATGGGGCTTATTAGCCAGTTTCCTGAGACAGCAACCTCCAGGTTCCGCATAAAATGCTATCATGAAAAATAAGGTGAAGAAAGAACAGAGGAAAGAATCTAACATCTAACTCTGGCCTATACACAGGCCAGCAGAAGGCAGGGCACCCAGACACACATGTACACATATGTAAACTGCATGCAACTTACACACAGAAAGAAAGAATATGGAAATCAAACACATACAACCCGAATGAATCAACATTAACACTGCTAATTTTCCTTGTTGTTTAGCTTCTTTATGTCTGTAGATTTTAGTATGGCTATCCTATATTATACAGCTAACATCTGCAGAAGAAGGGAATAGTAAAACATGGAAAAGACAAGACACTCAAAAGGAGACCAACAAAGCTAAAAAAAAATACCTGAGCCCAGGGGTCCTGGAGAGACTGATGTACCAACCAAGGACCATGCATAGAGAGGACCTAGGCCCCTGCTCAGACATAGCCAATAGGCAGTTCAGTCTACATATGGGTTCCTGAGTAAGGGGAGCAGGGGCTATCTCTGACATGAACTCAGTTGCCTGCTCTTTGATCACTTGCCCCTGGTGATGCAGCCTTGCCAGGCCACAGAGGAAGAGGATCCAGGCAGTCCTGATGAAGCTTGATAAGTTATGGGCAGATGGCAGAGGAGAACTCTCCCTTTCAGTGGACTAAGGGAAGGAGATGGGGGGAAGGAAGGGAAGGAGAGTGGGACTGGGAGGAATTGAGGGAAAGGGCTACATTCAGAATTTAAAAAAAAAAAAAAAGGAAAAAAAAATCATGGGTCTCAAGAGTCCTTTCACTTTCCTTCTTAGACCCATACTGCTGCCTTTGGCCCAAACCGACCAACTTGATCTTCACAGAGACATAAAATTCTTCTTATCACCTCAGATGATGTTTACCCATCCTCTGAAAGAGACAAGTGCCTGATTAACAACTAACACAACAAACATGAGCAAGAAAAAAAAAAAAAACAGACACTATATTTTTGGGGTGCAGAATTTAGACATAAAGTTAGAACTGAGCTGCAAACTTTCTTTGTGCTGGTTAGCATTCATAGTGCAGGATGCTACAGAAAAAAATGTCTTCCACTGTCTCCCCTAGTGGCACTGCATGGGGCACTACTTGGTGGTTTGAATAAGAATGGCCTCCACAGCCTTGTCTATGTGAAGGCTTTGTCCCCAGTAGGTGGAACTGTTTGGGAAGGATTCAGAGGTGTGGCTTAATTGAAGAGATGTGTTACTAGGAATGAGCACTGAGGTTTGAAAAGTCCACACCATTCCAGTTCCTTTTCTCCCTCCCTCCCTCCCTCCCTCTCTCTCTCTCTCTCTCTCTCTCTCTCTCTCTCTTCTCTCTCCTCTCTGCCTTGCAATTGTTGTCTCAAGAGGTGAGCTCTCAACTTCTGCTCCACCACCATGCCTTCCTGACTGCTGCTGTGTTCTCCACTATGATGGTCATGGAATAGACTAACCCTCTGGATCTGTAAGTCCCAATAAGTGATTTCTAAGGTTCCTCGGTCACGTTGCCTCAGCACAGCAATAGAAATGTAAACAAGACAACTATCCACTAGCCATGCAAGAGGCCCCCACTGGTGTGACTGTTGTATGGGCAACTACCCACTCTCTGGCTGTTCACAGGCTGGAATTCACACCTGCTGTCTCAAGTGTGGCAACAGGACAAAGCAGGGAAACTCCACTTCTGCTCTGCTGGACAGACACGATGTTCCAGTCAAATTGCCTTCTAGGAATTAGGCCTATATATCAGAGCTTCTGTTCTTACTCAGAGAGGCTTCTTTTTGCAAGAAGCAGTGGTAACTACAGACTTACAACTGCTTAAAGTGCTGGAATAAGTCAGTGTTGAATGCTCAGCCCTAAATGGGGCATTTTTACCACCCCTTCCACACCTTTAGAAATATTCCCAAAGAGGGGAAAGAAAGAGAATAATAGCCAGAGGAAGGGTGAGGTGTTGTGCCTCATGTCCTCTGGGCATGACATGGCCATTGCCTGCACGGGACCTACACGGGATTGGGCATGTCGACATTCAGTCATGGAGGAGGGAAGGTTAACAAGGCATCACCCCTCCTTGGAGACTTTTAACCAGCTAACAGTTTTCAGTGGAAGGTGCAGTCTTGTTTGTTCCTGAGGACTTATGGGAAGACGATGATTGTTTGGAGAAAGAAGGACATTTTCATCAGTGGTGTGACTGCAAATAAGCTGCCATGTTCCTGAACACAACCCTCACCCACACTCCTGTGACTCATATAGTCATACGTCTTCTCCCCCTCTCTCTTTTCCTCTCTCTCTCTCTCTTCTTCCCTCTCTCTCTCTCACACACACACATACACACACACTCATACAAATGTACTCATGCATGTAAAATAATGTTTTAAAACATGCAAATATTTTCAAAACAGTTTTTCTAAGTTTCCTTGGGCATAGTGATTGGGTCACCAGTTTATACAGATGTGTAAACTATGTTGGAAAGAGACCTAAAACTTAATTAGTAAATCTAAATTAATATTCTGGTTTTATCAGCTGTGTCTGAGACAAAAATTTTAAATCTAATTCCTAATCTCTTTACTGGAGATGAGGAGTACTTCACTCCACGGACATCTGGGACCACTAGATTCCAAATGGGTCATTGTGCTTCGCATTGTGCATATACTAAAAGCACTACGCGCTGAAGCTGGAGACATGGCTCAATCATTAAGAATACCTGGCAATATGCAGAGGACCAGGTTTGGTTCCTAGTCCCATATGACAACTTAGAGCTACACAGAACTCCACTCCTAGGGGATCCAGTGTCCCACACCAGGCATGTACATACAACACATCAAATAAAATCAAAATAAACAAACATAAAATCAAAATAAACAAACACATCTTAAAAATGTTAAATAAATTAAAATGTTAAATTCGTTCACTAAGTTTTGCCTCGCATTCTAAGTAGATCAGGCTGTAAGTAAAACACCAGAAAAAAGAAAACAATTACTTACGATGCTACCTAAAACTTCAGTCTGCTAACAGTCCACAGCCCTCTAATTATCATGAAATTAGAATCATGCCTTAAGTCCCCCAGTGCTCCCCAAACCACGTAGTACAGCAGCGTCACCTTTAAGCGCACAGCTTAAGGACTCACTTGGCAGCTCACATCCATGCCTGCCTCCAGCAGAACCTGTACAACGGCCTTGTGACCATTGCGGGCAGCAAGGTGAAGCGGCGTGTGCTTCCGAGTGTTACAGCTCATTAAGTTCGGGTGCGCGCTGATGATCATCTTCACCACTCTCAGCCGTCCATAGAGTGCTGCCAAGTCCAGCGGTGTCTCAAGTTTGCTGTTCCTGATCGTGGGGTCCGTGAGCTCTTCCAGGAGAACAGCGACCACTTCTGAGTGTCCATACTGAGCTGCGCAGTGCAGTGCGGTTTCGTTCTCGTTGTTCTATTGAAGATGAAAATACGAAAGACACGTCTTCAGGAATTTCATTAGCTATCAAAATCCGAAAACAGTAAATTGACACTTGGCAGGTGTGAAAATGTAAATTTAAGCGTTACCTAGTAAGTAAGTACATATAAATGAAGTTTCTATTTGACTGAAGCATTCATCACTCATTACATCAAAATCATGTTTTAGTTTCATCACTTCAACATGAAAAAAAAATCAACCTTTTTTCTGTGTCCAGCTTCCAGGAATGCTGACTTAGCCATGCTAGCCAGTGGCCTTATGGGTCCAGATGGCCAGGATACCCTGCGCTGTACCTGCCTCTGTGACAGTTGTCAATAAGAAAAATCAATACCAATTACAACACCTTTAATGACTGATGTTGCAGACAAGAGCAGAGATTCTTGATGATGACAGACTTATAGAAAGTTGCCTAAATTGTTCAATTTTATTTTAAATAAATAGAAACCATTGTTTTTATTACATATATGGTGAACAATAAATATAAATCATTACTTTTCTTCTTTGCAGAAAGAATAAAAAATCCCGTCCCTAGGATAAGATGATAGAATCCATTTGAAAGCACAAAGAAGCAGGCCTAGATCCATACCCAGGGGAGTTGCCAAGAAAACCAGAGTACTGACCACATTTGCAGCTGGTAAGAATTCCTATCGAAAAAAACCAATGCCATTTTTTTCTAGAATTTTAACAAGATTTTTTTTTAATGAATTCAGCTACAAGGCAACTTGACCCTTCAGACAATTTCAGCAAGTGCATGGATAGATGGAGCTCTTGGCGTGTCAAGAGGTGGCAGAGTCAATCACAAGAACCGTGAACAAGAAATGTTAACAACAGAAGTGAAACGACCCTGAATTAGGGCTCTGGAGAGAAAGATCGGCTATCATTTCCAGCGTCCATCATCACAGCTAGCGGTAGGCATGAGACACAGGTGAGCTTCATGTATTTACTAAGTATCATTATCATTACTCTCAAAATAGGATGAGGCACTAAGGCACCTCATTGAACAATGGGTTTCTAATGACACAGCCATTGTGTGGGGTGCAAGGGCAGCCTGAAGTTACAGACAGGGTGTGAAGTCCCTGTGTTCCCCACAGCCTGTGCTGCAGCAGCATCAACTTTAATGCACACCAAAGACTCTCTTGACAGCTCAGATCCCTTCCAACCTCCAACAGCACCTCTACAGTTCTTTTGGCACCACTGAGGACAGTAGTATGAAGTGAAATGTAGCTCAGGATTTGAACCAAGCAGCCCAGACCTAAAGTCTGAACGAACTATCAACAAATACGATCTTCCATCCTAATGGTGATAGGTACACACACTTACCAAACAACTACAAATCATACAAACATTGTCTCCTTAACTCTTAAGATCTTACAGGCTGGTATCAATATATCTGCTTCAAGGATGAAGAGACTAAAATTGAAAAAAAAAAAAAATAACCTCACACTACATTTAAGGAGAAGCAGATCTTTTGGTACCCATCAAAATCTAAAGCCCACATTCTCACTGCTTCTATCTAAAAGTATCTTAGTTTTCCAGAGATTTCACCCAAAGAGCACTGAGCTACAAGCAACTGCGATAGTAGCTCCTACCGAAACAAAGGGAAAAGAACGATTGAAACCCAAACAGACTTTAATCTTGCAGGACAAAAAGCCAAACAAACAAAACAAAAGCACCCCAGGTTTGGACTGGATAAAGAAAAAAAAAAAAAAAAGTAAACCAGTAAGTTAAGCAGCTAGAGGAAACCTTTAAAACTCAAAAAGAAGGGTGAGGAGGTGGGGGTGGGGCGCACTGGAAGAGCTTCTTATTCCGTGTCTTTAGTACCAAGACAAGGCAATGGGAGGTTAAAAAAAAAAAAAACAGAGGCAACTATTCTCTTCAAGGATAGTGGATGAAAACTGGGGTCAGACGAATGGGAGGGAATCTACCTGAAGATGTTTCTTCCATTGTCTGTGAGACATTTTACTCTAATTTCTGTCTTCATCTGTAGAAACTGAGTACATGTAGCTTTAGACTTTCTAATTTTTTAAATCTGACCCTTCTACTTGATAAGAACCACAAGCTTATTACTTTGACACATGAAAATATGACATAAAAATGTGATTCCTGACCAACCCAATTTCCCCTTGGTCTAAAAAGGGCTGTCTCATTTTTCAAACTGTAATATCTCTCTGAGGAAAAGAAAGGCCAATTATGGAGAAATGACTCCTGAAAGATCTCTCTACTTTTCCACAGCCCCAGAAAATAAGAGCAAAACTGCAAGTTCTGAGAATACCAATTAGTGCCGTTCAAATCACAGGAGAAGTTATCTCTATCATTAAAGACCCATTTAGGAGACAATGCTCATAGGTTTTTATCCACAATCAACACATGCTTGGCCTTTCTCATCAGTGGAGACTACAACTGTGGTCTCTCTAAAAGGCAATATTATATACTTGTGTGAACACTCACTGACAATCTAAAAAGAAACATCTAACTTTAAATGAGTAGGCTATGATGATGTATTGATTAGTAACTGCTGGTATACATGTAGAAAGAACAGTTTGAAATCTTCATTTTTAATCAAAAAGCTAGCCTCTGAAAACTTAAGATACTTATAGACAACGAGTAATAGAAGGAAAACCCATTTACCAAAAGACCTGAATTCAAACAGCAAAAACAAAGTACTTTTGGGATAAGGATCCTCTGACTTTCGCCCCAGTAGTAAATTTAAAGAAAAACATAAAGACGGGGGAAAGAAGGGGAAGGTGAGTATACACAGAGCACAGACCGTGAGAAGAAAAAATTCTTTCTGCATTGTTGCCACATAGTACCAGTTTGTCTTTCTTATATCTATCTGTGTACATGTCTGTCTCTCTACATATCTCTATCTCCCTATCTACCTACCTTTCCATCATCTCTATCTATCTATCTATCTATCTATCTTTCTATCTATCTATCTATCATCTGTGAAGAACTTCATACATAAGCACTGCATCTTCCCTTTCTACCCTTCCCTCCCCACCTTCAACTCCTTCCCTGCTGCCCCTCCCTCCTAAATCCAGTGCCTGATTTAGCGTCCCCGGTATACGCATGCTGTCCTTCCCTGTTTTATGCCATGGTCCTCAATTGCATCTCTGCTTTTGTACAAAATAGAATGGTGAGCAGGATCTACTAGAAGCCGTTAGCACACCCCTCGTTCACAATCACGTGCTCCCTGAACTGTCCTCATCTGTGTGTCTTCTCTGTAACCACACAGTGTAGTTCATAGACCAAAAGATAATATGTAGGAGGTTTTAAAAACATTCAAATGCACGACGGGGCTCCCTAATATTTTTAATTTGGATGCTTTATAAGCTTGGTAGGATCCCCAAGTTTGTTATAAAAGCTTAAAAATGATGTAGAAAAACATGTTCTGCTAACTGATGTTATTAAAACTTAGTATATACCAACCAATAATATGAGAATCCATAATCTCAGTTACTTACTACTCAGCAAATGTCTGAAATGGTAAATGGAAAATTCCAGGAATAATTCGTATGTTTTGAATCACAGGCTGGCCTGAGCATGATGAAATCTTGAGCCATTCCACTCCCTCTCACTGCTGACAGGAATCATCCTTGGTCTCACTTAGTGGTCAGCTCATCTATGAGATGCACTGTTCTATCGCAGAGCCTGCATTCCAGATACCTTTACTTAACGCAGTGACCCACACTACAAAAGTAACAAGGCAAATGAGGACCATGGACTGAAGCACAGACAAATTCACTCTGGCACTTCGTGGGCAACGCAGAAGGCGTGACAGAAAGATTGTTTTTAAAAAGAACTCTCTTGATGACTAGTGAATCAGGACGGAAACATTAGCACTTTTCACAAGTAACAACAAAAGCATTTGGAGGTGGAATCTGAAGTGATATATGGGAATATTAGCGCAGAGGTTTCCATCAGGGCTAGGACGCCTCCATGCAAGAAGTCAAAGATCCTTTCCAGAAAGAACGATGAAACACTAACTACGTTTATAATTTCAATGTCACAGCAGTGTGACTGGCTAAGGGCTTGGGCTTTAGATCTGAAAACCCTTTTAAAACATTGGTTCCATTTCTTAATACATGCAAATTCTTCTTCCCTAAGGTCATGGCCCCATGCAGACGACCCCTATCTCACCAGGCTGTGATAGGAATTAGTATGGTAATGTAGATGCTATGGTTTGCACAATGCCTGGCACAGTAAACGCTCTGTAAGTAAAAGGACCTAGGATGGCAACATTAGCACGTGAGACCCTGGACTCAGAGTGCAAGTCTCCAGTTTGGGTCGCCCAGGAGCATGGGGCCTTAACCAAGTTACTTCGCTTAACTGGACTCGGGTTTTCTTTCGCCCATAAAACAGGAAAGACAATTTCGCTTCCGGTTCTTAAGTAGCATAGTTAATTAAGTTAGCATTGTGCAGGAGGAAGTACTTAGAACAACGACTATTTCCCTTAGTCCTCAGGAAATGTTGGTTTTCAATCCTCCTGCTATTGTTGAAATACAGAAAAGTTTCTAATTAGCTGTAACGTTTCTGAACCAGCGAGGGTACAGAAACTGAAGTTGCTTATAGAATAAGACCCGCACATCTGACTCTCTAACGGGTAAAGGTGTGCAGCGGCAGGACAGACTTAGAACGAAAATCCCGAGAAGGTGCCGGGAGGACAGCGAGGTTGGTAGCGTGCTTCCGCCCAGGCGTGGGGACCTGCTCTCCATCCTCACAAGTCATATTAAAAAAACAAAATCAGGCATGACGGCGAAGGGTGCTGGGGAAGCAGAGACAGGAGGATCCCGGGGCTCAGCAGCCAGCCATAACCGGGGAGCAACACGGCCCAAACAAAGCAGGCAGCAGCAGGGGAGTAACGCCTGCCTCGGCTTCCACACGCACATTCACACAAGCGCACACACAAGCACGCACGCACATCCAAACACGCCCTGACCCATCCATCCGCACGCGCAGGCACACGGTCTCGAGAAGTGTTCAGCTTGTTCCCAATCACGCCACAGCACCCAGTAATAGAAATGAAAGAAAGGAAAGATTTTCTGATTCAAATCTCCTTAGAAGGAAATTTCTTTAATAATTTGATCAATGTTCAATATTACCAAAAAAAAGTGTTTCTCTCAAACACTTTTATATTGTGTCACCACTTGAAAATGTCAGCTTTCAGATATAAACGAACACTGTATGTTTCTTATTATTGTGTCATTTTAAAAAACATTTTGTTTACGTAAAATAGCCCCCTTTTCTTTAACCTTGGGGTGGTTTTCCGCTTTGCTCCTTCAGGTTGGCTTTGCGCCGCGCAGGCAGTTTTAAGAACAGCCACCAGATGGCTCATCCTGTAAATGATCTAAGTTCTGGTCTCGCAGGAACAGAAAAGGAATCTCACCGTTTTCCCCTTAGTACGGTCTGATATCTGTCATTTTTAAAAGGACTGAACGGACCCTAATTTTAAAAGCCTACATTTTTCTAATGTTACAAACACAAGATTTTATTGTCATAAAAATTAATGAAATACTTTCCCAATAAATAAAATGTGGTGTTTTGTTTTGTTTTGTTTTGTTTTTTTCCCTTACTGATTGGTCTTTTCAACACTGCATTTGGTTGAATGTTTTTCTTTACCCTTGTTGTTTAACGCTAGTGTTACTTTGTATTCTTATTTACTCTTAATTGCAGGCCAAGGTCTGCAGAATCTATAGCTATTTGAACAATATGGTAACTGTCCTTTAATTGGAAGCGCTCGCCCTTAGGTAATCTATTTACATTGGCGTTGGACAATCGCCAGCCTGCAGCTTAATACCGTGGTTGCAATTCAATTGTTGGACTGCATGCTGGTTTTCAAACACAGTTTTACAAAACGGGAACAGTAGGGGGCATGCAGGGCTCAGGATGTCTGGCATGCTGTACTAGGAGGCCGCACTTCACGCTCAAAACACGCTCCTCTGCTGACCGCTCAGCGCTGAATTTCTTCCTAAATATGCTCATTGTTTGTAATATCGATATTACAAAATATTTTCTAACTTTATCTGCCGTTATTATAATGCTATGTAGCACTCAACTTACTTTAGACATTGCTTTCATGTGTATGTGTGTGTACACGCACTCACACGTTTAGAGGAAATTTATCTTTCTATGGGTCTAGAAACCGTGCACACTGTATTTTACATATTGACTCCCAAAAAGTGTACTTCACTATGAAAATGCTGTGTAAATGGAAAGCACTATGGAAATGATCGCTATAAACATTGCTTAAGCATTTAAAATTTTATTGAGGAACACTAATTCTCATTACAAACCATGAACACTGTTCTATCTTTAAATATTAAATAGATATGAAATGGATGACTCTATAAGGCAGGCAAAAACCTTACAGTGATTTCTTTAATGTGGGATTTTCTTTTTAACAGAGTATCTTCCCAAATGCTTTAGAGCCTGTGCATGATATCCAAATCCATGGAGCTGTGTGTCATGTCCAAACCCAAAGAATTGTTCAAATCTCCCCTTCAGGAAATTCAGCAGTACAATGATTTTTGTCAGAGTAAAAGTAAAAGCAATCCATTTCTCAATGTGGCTTTGCCTTTGTGAAACTTGAGAGCAAATTACAGCATGAACAAAGATTCAACCAGTGCACCTGTTCATTGACTCTGGAATGTGAAGGTCCATGGTGAATGAGAATCTTCACAATCTCCACATCTCCCTTCCAGGCAGCCAGATGAATGGGAAAGTAACCTTTGTTGTCTGCTACATTTGTTGATGCCTCGTACTGAAGAAGTTTGAGAACTATGTCCCTAAGGAAAAAAGTAAACAAAAAGAAAAGAAAACAACAGAAAAGAAAATAGGCTGAACAACACAGATTTTGTTAGATAACTATAAATGTTTGCTAGAGACTAGCTGGCATTTAAAACAGTCATTCAAGGCACTACAATTTAACATTGGAATTAAGAGTTTACATAGTTGACACATGATTTTACTTACTTAGAAAATACTCAAATGCCCTACCAAAACACACACACATGTGCACACACACATACACACATACCCAGAGCATTAACAAACCAATAAAATTACTTAATAGAATGCATTTGAACAACAAATATCTTACTTTGTTAAATGAATGAGTTAAATAAAGTCAATAAAAGTCCATTGTGAACGGACTGTCTTTCCAGATAACCCATATCTAAGACTTAGCTAGAAATAAAAGCTGAAGCTACAAGCAAACTCCCTGTTTCCAGAAACTAAAGTTATCATGTATCAAGATAAATTTGGAAGTTTTATATATCACCCCTAGGGAAAACTAGAATGAATGAATGAAGTGTCTATAAGAGAGAAATTTTGGGTAACAGGACTAACAGCCTAAGTATAGTACTAATCACAATTAAAAAAACAAAATTTGGTAGCTGTTCAGCCATAGCACATAATGTGATTTGAATATGACCCATCCTGTTTTCCTCCTTCTCCTTCATGCTGAGGAAGTGATCCCAAGAGTGACATTCCCTTAAGAGAGAATTTCTATCTCCTGGTGTAGGCTCAGTACACTCACATGCTACCCAGAGCTTCTATGTTTAAAATCCACCAAATTCTCAGAGTAAAAACCTTCATTAAAATAATCTCAAGAAGAACTGATTAACAGCTATTAGTTTCATTACACTTAACTTTGTATAAAACAATACAAAACATAATTCTAAACAAAGTTGCATTTTCATTTGGCTGCATTTAGACTCAAATTCTAATAATTCAGTAAGTGAAACCCCACATAGACACATATGTAAAGTCAGGCAAAAAAACCTTTACATATACACAATTACAACCTAAAGTTGATTCTTACGCTTAAAAAAAATTATAGAATTTTTTCTATAGAATAGAAAGAATGGATATAACAGAAACACCTAAAAATAAGTGGCCATTTAAAAAGCAGTGAGGTTAGAATCCCAATAGCGCACAAGAAACAGATATAAATGCAAAATAATAAATGGTAAATCATACTGTCCAAAACATAGCCTAACCACCAGATACAGTTACATGAAATTGTGACAGAAAAAAACGACTATGTTACAGATATACTTACATGTTTTGAGGAATTTTCACCTTTTATTGAGAAGATTTCTGAGAAACTAAAGCATAAATTATACCTCTTTTATGGCTGTATTTTCATCATATGTGTGTGTGTCCATGTGTGCATGAGGACATGTGGGAGTGACTGTTGGGGGGGGGAGGGCAGAATAAATCAGATCCCTGGAGCTGGAGTTACAGGCAGTTATCAGCCACCCAATGTGGGTGCTGGGAACTAAACTCAGGTCCTCTGGAAATGTTTTTAACTGCTGAACCATCTCTCCAGTCCCATAAAGTATATCCTAACATGTCTGTTAGAAAAATTATTAAGAAACAAGATCTGAATTTAGAAGGATGGAGTTTGTGAATTAGCTGTGCAAACTACATAACTGTTAATCTTAGCATTATTTTCTTTTCCCTTCTGGAGAAAAACTAGAACAACAAAATAGTTTCTAGTGCTGAAGTGTGTACATTCAATGTACATTAAATGCGGTCAAAAGTCACATAGTAACTCGTAATCCACTATGCAAGCATGAGAATTTGTATCAAATCAGTACAAAATGCCATGTGGTAACTAGGGATCCATTATAAAACCACAAGAATTTGAATAAAATAAGAACAAAACCAGGTAAAAGTGAAATTTGATGTTTATCCAGTTTGCTTGATTTTCCTCATCTCTGCCACATAAGAACGGCCTTTGAGTCTTCAATTCTGAGATAAGTAAATAACAATAGTGAAGAAAGAAGGGTCCCACTCAACAGTTATGAAAAAACAAAACAAAACAAAACAAAACACTGAGAGCCAGAATCAGGCTTTTAAGTCCCAAAGCTGTTATATTATTGACATCTGTACAGTAACAAGCAGCAAAATGATCCCTATGTTTTTCTTTTCTTTATAAAGGTACCCAGCCTTGTGCATTTCATCACAGTAATGTAGCACAGGCTAAAATACCTTTTAAGGAGAAGATAAAAAAGAAAAGATTGATGGGATCAAACCTTTAACTTTCTTTTACTCTCACTCAAAATTCATAAATTATTCTTTGATTTGAATTTTGTTGATATTTTCTAATAATATAGATGATGAGCATTCACTGCTTATCAAGAAAATTTATGATATACTGAAAAGTGATTATTTTTAAACTGACTTATTCTAAACATTTCTATTCTTTATACAATTTTATAACCACTTAGAAATGGATTATCTATATGCTCATAAGTTAAAACAAGTCAGAACTAAATACTATCTTTTTAACTTATTACATTAGTTTATTTGATTGGGGAACACACATATATGGAGGTCAGAGGGCACCTTGCCAAAGTAGGCTCTCTCCTTCCACCATGTAGGCAAGGGGGCATTAAAACTCAGTCGTCAGACTTGATAGCAAAAGCCTTTACCAACTGAGCCATCTTACTGTCCCAATCATTCTCTGCAGTGCATTTTAAGTATGCTTATTAAATTTCTTTGTTTTGTGCAGTATTACTGAATTGGATCCAGGGCATTAAACTGTTACAGTGAATGTAAGCAAATGATTGAGCTAATGTTTTTTACTAAAAATCTTTTACTTTATTCTGAGAAAAAGTCCTGCCAAATTTTTTATAGTCTTTTTTTTTTCAGTGTTTAAAAATGTATTTATATTTTTATAAATTACAGTTTATTCACTTTGTATCCCCGCTGTAGCCCCCTCCCTCATCCCCTTCCCAATTCCACCCTCACTCCCTCATCTCCTCCCATTTCCCTCCCCAAGCCCTGATAGGGGAGGACCTCCTCCCCTTTCCTAGCCTATCAGGTCTCATCAGGACTGGCTGCATTGTCTTTCTCTGTGGCCTGGTAAGGCTGCTTCCCCATCAGGGAGAGATGATCAAAGACCCAGCCACTAAGTTCAAGTCAGAGACAGTTCCTAGTCCCATTACTATGCAACCCACTTGGACACTGCACTGTCATAGGCTACATCTGTGCAGGGGATCTAGGTTATCTCTAAGCATGGTCCTTGGTGGGAGTATCAGTCTCAGAAAAGAGCCCTGTGCCCAGAATTTTTTGATCTGTTGCTCTCCTTGTGGAGCTCCTGTCCCCTCCAGGTCTTTCTATCTCCTCCTTCTTTCATAAGATTCCTTGCACTCTGCCCAAAATTTGGCTATGAGTTTCAGCATCACCTTCGATACCTTGCTGGTTAAGTCTTTCAACAGCCCTCTGTGGTAGGCTCCTGTCCTTCTGCCTGTTTTCTCCCTCTTCTGATGTCTATCCCCTTTGCCATTAGGGCATATATCCAAAATATGCTCAAGTATACAAGTACATTTGCTCAACCATGTTCATAGCAGCTTTATTTGTTATAGCCATAATCTGGAAACAACCCAGATGTCCCTCAACTGAGGAATGGATACAGAAATTATGGTACATTTACACAATGGAACACTACTCAGCAATTAAAAACAAGGAAATCAAGAAATTTGTAGGCAAATGGTAGGAACTAGAAAAGATCATCCTGAGTGAGTTATCCCAGAAGCAGAAAGACACACATGGTATATACTCACTTATAAGTGGATATTAGACATATAATATAGGATGAAGATACTAAAAGCTGTACACCTAAAGAAGCTAAGCAAGAAGGAGGACCGTGGGTAAGATGATCAATCCTCATGCAGAAAGTCCTGCCAAATTTAAGGGTGGTGTTCAACTCTTGCCTCAACCTTCCAAGTACCTGGGAGTAAATATATGCTGTTTGATAAAAGTGTGTTTCTTTAAATTTAAATGTTCTTTAAAATTTTTATTTATGTTGAGTTTTATAACCTTATTTTGGATATATTAACTAGTGAACCAGCTAAGTTCAGATTCAGCTTAGACACACACTTATTAAATATAAAGTTAGATACCTCTAATCAAATAAGTATGTAGTAGTTTTATTGAACTGTAAAAACAATAAATTGATAAATTGTCATTAATTTTTCTTATTGTGCATCTGGATTATCATACCTAATGCTAATTAAGTAGCCTCTTTCATACAGGCTCATAGGAGTAAATTAAATTTTGAGAACTTTCTATATCTAAATTTGAAGAGCAACAGAATACTAACTCAGTATTATTGCTTTTTATTTTCATTTACGTTGAACCTAATACTTTATTCAAGTATTGTTGGCTGTGTTTTATTGCTTGGATGAAATATTAGGTTACACTGTTGATGTCTATACATTAGGAAGCAACAAAGCAACCCCAGTATTTTTCAAATAAAGTAACAATATTTCTTGTAGCCAGCATTTGATACCGGCTGTGGTCCAGGGTTAGTGGCATGACTCAGTGACATGGTTCACAATTAGCATTTACATAACCTGAATTCAATGCCCAAACACACACACACACCACCACCACCACCACCACCATACCACTAAAAAACAACAACAACAAAAAAGATGTCCTGAAATCCTAATATAAATGTACTGAGTGGTATCACAGGAAAAGTAACTTTATTGCCAGGTACAAAACAAAGTATCAAATTAAATCAAAAGTAATCCAATTTAAATAATTTAATTCTTTGGCAGGTAATATATGTAAATCCAGATAAAAATACAAAATTTTAAAGCGTTGGTTTTTTCTACTCTCATTTGCATTTGTGTTCTGATAAATATAAAACCATTTCTGACTAATATTAAATATCTTTGAACAAGTTCAGAGTAAATTCTATGCAAAATCAAAGTAATTGATAGGGCAACTTTATTTTTTTTTTTCTCAACTGCATTACAACAGTGTTTATTTTATCTTGTTGCTTGTCGGTGGGTCTCACAATCACAGCTTCATCCGGTTGCAGAAGTAAACAGCCAAGGAGAGCTTCAGACTTCATAAGGCTCAATATCAGGCTTCCCGGAGATTACCTGCTTCTCTTAAAGCAAATAAAACCTCAGATGCGCTGCGTGTATCCATAAGGCATGGGGACATATGGCCTACTCTCAAGGGAGCTTTTTACACACTGAATCACTTACAATTTCTAGATTGTGAAAAAAGAAAAGAACAATCAAATTAAAGGGGTTTCTAGGTCCTTTAATAGTTATTCCAACAACTTCAGGTATCTGATTATAAAAATTTTAGAGTACTCCCTCTTTCATAAAAACAAAACAAACATCAACAACAACAAAAATCCTAAGAAAAGGAAAGCAAAACTACAAATAGCTTATTCTCTGGATTCTAGCTCCAATTTAACATACAGTTTGGAGTACAGATAATAAGTCTATAAAATATTAAATCTTAAAATAGACAGAAGAATAGAAAGTATTTTAACTCCACACATGCCATATTATATACTATGCATATCTCCAAGGAATAAAGATAATTTGAGACATTTTTATTTTTCAAGGGTATCCAAGTAGTATCATGACACATCCAATATAGTTTGAGAAATATGACTTGAGCAAAATAAAGAGCAATTTCCTAATTAGATAAAGGAAATAAAATTAAATATAAGTACTTGAGTTTAATAAAAAAAAAAAACCTTACTGAGAAAGGTAAAATTATTTTTTGAAAAATAGCCCTCATAAGATGGAGACAGGAGGAAAGGCAGTCTCTCAAAGTCAGCTAGCTTGTAAGAAACACCCCTTCCAAAACAGGAAAAAAAAAAAGAAAAGGAAGGACAGAAAGAAAGGAGGGAGAGAGGGGCTTAACAAGGGAGCTGAAGGTGTAGCTTGGCAGTCGAGGGATTGCAAGAGTGCATGAGGTCTTTCCTCGCTGGGCATTTATTCACTAATTACAAAACAAGGTAAGACAACAGAACAGAGGAAGAAAAAATCAAACAGGAAAGAGAACTGGAAGAGAATAAGCTAAAGGGGTAGGCAGTATGGAAGGGAGGGAGGGGAGGAGGAGAGAAGGCCAGACATCACTATTCAGAAGAGAATTAAGGGATTCGTGTGTGTGTCGCAAATTGTTTATAATCATTCCTAATAGATTTTGTTTATTGACCATGATTTTTCTGTCATTTGAAAGTAATGCCTTTCTATTCTGTAATTGCAAATGGCCCCGGAAGCCACCAATGGAGTACAAATTCTATTGTGTCCAGCCTGGCTGATTGAAGATGAACTCTTCTGTATGAAATAATGCATCACAGGAAGAAAATGCTTCTCCATTTGTGAATTAACTAGTGTTGATAAACAAGGGTCCCCAGTAAAATGCACCAAAGAGGAGGAAATGGACTCAATCATCAGTGTGGAGACTTAGGGCCGGTCACATGTTGGGGATGGGGAAAAATTATATTGAAAGCAAAATAATAAAATACAGAACCCTGCAACATTCTCCCCAGCTCTGGGAGTCTTTGAACTCTGCCCAAGAAGTCAGTTTATAGAAAAAATCTAGGAACCACAACAGCAACAAGAATAGAATATACTTTTATATTATCTGCTAAAATTTACTGGAGAAAAATACAACATAATAAAGTGTTAATGACCTATGCTGAGTAATAACAGCAAACAAAAAAAGTCTCATCCCTTTCTACCTTTAATGGTACTTTTCTCTCCTTGAAATACCTTTTTTAAAATTAAGACAGTATTAATTAGAATTCCATGAGAAAATACTAATTGATGACATTGGAAGATATCGTAGAAATAAATAATGTTACATAGAAAAGCCAGAAAGAGATTAAACACAGGGAAAGGTAACACGGAAAAGTGATAAGAGCATAGACCTTTAACCACAACGCAGAGGTTCTCGGTACAACCTCACCTAACTGCATCATTTATCCAAAATGGCCTGCTTTGTCCATCTATCCAACAAGTGGGGCTGGGTGGAATAAATGATGCCTAAGTGAGTCTACAGGTAAGTTAAACAGTAAGACTCAATTACAACCCAGATTTCAGAACTGCAGCATCACGATACAGAACTGAGAAACAAACCATACATAACGCATATGCCAAAAATGTAACTGAAAGAAACGGTAGCAGTATCTGCCCTACGTATATGATACACACTGAACTGGGGCCTAAAAATGCTATCAATAACACAGATTAAAAGTATAAACAATTAGCAGGTTAGACACTTTTCCAACTGTTTTCCAAAGAAAATATGCAACAGGATGATGGTACTGAGAAAAAGTTTACTTGAAAACAGTTGATAAATGAGTTCCTCAGATAAAATCAAAGCTATGTAAGTACAGAATGTCTGCAATGAATAGGACGCTTAAAAATACCTAGCTGAACTCTATTTTCTTTAGGCTAATCTTAATGATTATTGCTCAGTTCCTTTAAATTATCTTCACTTTATATGTTGATAATAGGAACAAACACTGTTTCTCTAGGCTATCGTGTGTAAATCAACAGTGTTCACAAAAAAAATAAAAAATAAAAAACTGCTAAAAATTTAGAAAGGCTACAAGTCCTAACTTGCTTTCAGACACTTGAGAAGTGTTTATAGAGACGTTGTAAGAAAACAAGAAATGAGACTCAGAGTCAGGCCCAGGACTGTAAGCATCAGGCCTTGTAGAGTTTACCCTCTCCAGAAACCTGAACTCTAAGTGAAAAGCAAACACCACTATTGTGGTTTAAACTAATTTAAACCTGTCTTGGAATCGGATCGTCCAGATACAAGTACGAGTAGATAATAATTTCACCTTTAAAGAAGACCTGTGAGCTGACATGGTGACTCCCACCTGTAATCCCAGTTGTCCAGAGGAACAGGACGGAGAGTGTGAGAGGGAGGCAAGGTGGGGTTGTACAGGCAAGAGCCTATCTTCAAAAACAGAACAGCGACAGGCAGAGATGCAGACGTATTTTCCATTCTACAGAGAAACAACTTAATAATAAAAATTCCTATCAAAACAAACACTCTAAACCAGATGGGATATGATAATACAATATAAAAAGGAACAGATTAAAAATAATTGTGATTTGGTAATCCAATACTAAGAATCCCAACAAAGAGACAGTAAATTTATTACATTTTATGCAATTCAGATGATTCTTTAAATGTACTGATGTTAGATTTACATAACAAGTTTTAAGATAAAAACTAAAATGGTAATAAATAAGACAAAGATTGTAAATTGTTTTTGAAGTTAGAGTTGTATGGCCACCAAGCTAAAGATAAAGTACAAATAAGGCCTGTGTGTTTCAATTTTATATAAATATTAGGTGGGAGGATATACACATAGACTTTTTATGTTTTCATGTAACTCGGGCTGCTCTTGCACTCACGATATGGCCAAGGATGATCTTGAACTCCTGATCCTCCAGCCTGTGCTTCCCAAATGCTGGGTGGGATTCAGGCATGATTTGATTATCACATCCCATCCAAAACACTAAAGTGAAATGAAAAGAGTCAAACCTGGGAAGACTAACTTGCATCATTCCTGCAAAGGAAAAAAAAAAAAAAAAAAAAAAAAAAAAGGAAAGGGAGACACAGGAAGGGGGACATTTTTCTTCTGTAGCAAAAGACAGAACATCTGTGTCACCAAGAAAACGCAATACATTTGATCGCTAACCTGTTCGCTTACCTAGCTAAAATATCAGATATAAAGTACTGTTGTAGTTTTATATTCTCTCATGCCCCATGGCATAAACTAGCATAGTAATTAAAACATTAATTCCATAAAAGTAAACAGAGTAGAGCTAAGAAAGGTGAGTGTGGGTGACAGAGAAAATATCACGTACGTACCCATGCTTTATGGGGGTAGACTCTAGCACGAGTCCGCTCCTGTGTCAAGCGGGTAGAGGTAAATGTCAAGAGAAGGTGAGCAGGGATTCTGCACTCTTTCCCTAAAACTACACAGGATTAGCATGGTCCTGTCACTGTTCCAAATGTTCTTGTGTGATTTTTTTACCGCTTCTTTGAACTGATGATCTAAACATACTCATGTTCAATGGTGTTCTTCCCAACCCTAATTTATCAGTATCATCATCCGCTGCCTCCTCTCTGAATTGTCCAAGACCAGAAGATTGGTAAAATGAGAAAGTCATCAACAGATACAGTTAACGTCATCGCATGTAACTAAACCCACGAAACTCCCAGTCGAGAGAACTGCCACTTACTTATGTCCATTTAAGGCTGCGTGGTGCAGAGCGGTGTAACCCGAACTGTCTGTGCAGTTCACGTTGGGACCTCGCCAGATGCTGCAACACAGAACACAAGCACAGAGTTATTCTGTAGAGTCACGCTTTCAAGAGCAAGAGCCACAGCAGGGGGCGTGCTGTTAAGAGCACAGAGTCCCACAGCAGGGGGCGTGCAGCATAGGAAAACTGCACTTTTGTACAAAATGAATGTCGTCTTTCATGTATACACCAAAGAACAACTTCATGTATTTGGCATAGAGAAATTGAACAGCAAGTGTAAACACCTTCAAAAAAAAGTTACTGAATATATATTCACTGCCATGCACTAAATTTGGGTCAGAAATGTCCCTCTTGCTCCCTACTATTACTTTAGTATTAACATTCAGATACTATATACTAAAGAATGAAGATTTGTGAGACTTGCCTCCACTCTTTTACACACTCATCCTGACATAGCAGAGATTGTAACACATTTTCATGTCATGGGAAGACTTAAATTCTTCTTGTTGTTCTATTGCTACCAAAAACATGCATATAATGTATAGACTGCAGATTCGCTGAAGAGCCAATACACTGTAAACCACAAGATGATCCTAACAATTATGCTCTTACTGTTGACTTTATTATACAACATATTCTGTAGCTAACATTTAACTATATAAAAGACTCATTTTATACTTGATCACTGTGATTAAAGAAATTACTTTTAGCCATTGAAAAAACAGGGCACTGGAGGATGCTTTTCTAAAATAAAGACAAAAATATCTTTATCTAATGTTCATGCCAATATTGAAATCATAAAAGATACTAGCTAACGACAAATTTATATTCACAAAATATTTACAATGCATTAATTCTAGGTCACATATTAAGATAAGCACTAAGAAAACAAACAATAGCCAATACTCTTTCCTTATAAGAACATAGTCTGACAGCGTGTGGTGGCTCCTGGCTTTAATCCTAGCACTCCAGTGGCACAGGCAGGTGGATCTCTGAAATCTGGTCTATACAAGAGTTCCAGGCTAGCCAGGGCTACATCTAGGATTCTGTCTCAAAAAGGAGAAAATAAACCAGTCTAATATGGACGATAAGTAATAATTAAACAGTATGAGGATAACTCAGACACCACAGAGCATACAGGGCCAGCCCTGAAAAAATGATGGACAGCTATTTCAAATAAGAGATCACAACAAGCTTTCTAATCTAAACTGGGACAGTAAAAATGCGTAGAATGTACTGAATCAAGAGTTATATGAAATAAAAATCAATAAGACACAGGAATTAGATGGCAGAAATTGGGGAAAAAGAAAACAGTAGTCTAAGATAACTGAAAGGAAAAGACAATATAACTAAGATGAATAGGAGAGAAAAACAGACTGAGAAGAAAGAGGAACAGAGACAAATCAATGACACCAAGTTGGGAAAATAAGAATTTTAACTCTCAACATATATATTATATACAACATATATAAATAAATACAACATATATATAAATAATACAACATATATATTATAAATATATAAATAATACAACATATATATATGGCAATTCTTACATATGTGTGTGTGTGTACATATATATGTAAGAAGGCATGTATATGTAAGAAGGCATGGGTTGAACATTCTCTCAATCTTTGCTCTATGCTTATCCCTGCACATCTTGTAGGCAGGGTAAATTTGGGGTTGTAGTTTTTATGGCTGGGTTGGTATTCCCCTCCCTCCACTAGTTCTACCTCAAGGCCCAGCCATACTACTCTTAAGCATATATCCAAAATATGCTCCACTATACAACAAGAGCATTTGTTCAACTATGTCCATAGGGGCTTTATTCATAATACCCAGAATCTGGAAATAACCTAGATGTTCCTCAACCAAAGAATGGGTAAAAAACAAACAAACAAACAACTGCGGTACATTTACACAATGGAATACTACTCAGCAATTAAAAACAAGGAAATCATGAAATTTGCAGGCAAATAGATGGAACTAGAAAAGATCATTCTGAGTGACGTAACCCAGAAATAGAAAGACACACATGGTATATACCCACTTATAAGTGGATATTAGCCGTATAAAACAGGATAAACATACTACAATTGATAGACACAAAGAAAATAAGTAACAAGAAGTACCCAAGGGAGGATGCTTAAATCTCACTCAGAAGAGGAAATAGAATAGACAGTTGAAGAGAGGGAACAAAACCTCTGTTATAGAGGTTTTGAGTCTCTATAACATACACACATGAGAGGGAGCAAAGAAACCTCAGTGATTTTCTAAATAGAGAATGAAGAGCTGATTCAAATGAGAGCTCACAACAAACTTTACAAAAAAGACAGAAAGGAGCATTTCACAATGATTAAGGAACTGACTGGACAAGAGTTCAGAATAATCTCAAGTGGGTTTTTTTCAATATAACAACATATCTTCAAAATATATTAAGCAAAACCTGGTACGACTACAAAGAAAAAATACTTATATACCCATATCTGAAAAAATAAACCATCTCTCAATTGATAAAATTTAAAAAATCAGTAAGGAATTAAATAATATTACCAACCAACTTGACCTAACTGAAATTTATGTAACATTTTATGCAATAATAACAGAATAATAAAAGTTTTTTGCAAGTGAAAATGTTATTGCATAACATTTTATGCAATAATAACAGAATAATAAAAGTTTTTTGCAGGACATTTATTAAAACACAGCAAATGTGGATCATAAAACAGTTCCAATATATATGAAAGTATTCAAATCAAGTAAGATATGTTCTCTGATCAGTGCAATTAAATTAGAAATCACAAGCACAAAAGTACCTGGAAACCTCCAGTGTTAGCAATGAAATAACATCTAAGTCCAAGAAGATAATAAAAAGGAAATTACAGTGTATTTTAAGCTTAAAAAAAAACACAACATACTAAAACTTTTCATACACAATTAGAGTGTAAATAAAGGAAAATTTTCATCACGAAAATGACAATTTAGATGGGCCTCAAACTGGCAACCTTAGCTTCTATTTTAAGAAACAGAAAAATAGTTCGGCCATTAAAGGCTCACACTCAGTTTGTAAAGGAAATGAGTTTCATTCCTAACTCTGTGTAATCCAAGTCTGTCTTTCCATTTTCCCTTTTCTGCCCTCCAATGGTACCTGTACCACATATATGCACACACACACACACACACACACACACAAAATCTGTAAAAAAGAAAACTTTTCAGTCATATAACACATTAGCAAAACAACCAAACAATCCATTTAAGGCAACTATAAATCCTGATATCACATTCTCCAAAGAGAATATAAAAACCAAACAACCGGTATATGAAAAAGTACACAATTTCATTAATCATCAGATTTCATCAATAATCAATTTCATAAATAAAAAACAGCATGAAATATAAATACCAGCATTAGGGTGGTTAGTCTCAGTCTTTTCATAGCTGTTCCTAAAAAGTCAAAAAGTGCATGGGAGGGCTTTGGGAATACAAAGCATCTGTATACTGCTGGCAAGAAGGTAAAATGATATTGTCACTGTGAAAACACTATGGAGGTTTTTAAATAAACTAAAAATAGAACTTCATATGGCCCAGATGTTATGCTTCTGAACATAGAGCAGAAAAATTAACATTATGACAATAGAAATAGCAACACTGCTGTGTGCACTAGCAGAATTATCAACCAGGAGCTGAGAAAATCAAACAACCTAAACGCCTGTCAAATGAATAAAGCAAGCATGGCATAAGCATATAAAGGAATACCAAAAGACCTCACCACTTGCCACAGCATGGATGAGCAAAGACAACACCACCCTGAGTGAACTAGCCAGACACAGGAAGACAAGAACTGTACGTCAGTGCTTGAAGAACTATTCACAATCCGAAACCAACCTAGGTGTCCAACAACCGAGAAATGGATTTAAAAAAAAAAAAATGTGGCCTAGGTGCATAATAGAAGTTGTTCAGCCAGAAAGAAGAGTAGAGTTAACATCACGAGCAGAAAGATGGATGCAACTGCCAAGAATCATATTAAGCCAAATAAGGCAGTCACGGAACAACCAGTATCAAGTTCTCTTTATTTTGTGGTTTCTAGTTTTTACAGAGGCCCAAAATAATGTGAGTGTACATATTTATACAAATATACAAACACACACACATATATGTGCTTATACACTAAACAAATATGTGCTGGTACGGGAGCTATAACAAGGAGGCAGAGAAACACGGGGGAGAGTACCCTCCACAGATACTATACACTTGAATGAAAGTGTTCTCATGTAACGGTACCATGCACCTAAAAAACACCCCTTATGCTAAGCTCTGCAGGCATGGGGAAAAGAAGTTTTATAGGCTGCTAACTGAATTCAGCAACATTCTTGAAAGTTACCATAGCATTATGTTTTCAAAAGTGAACATTATTCACCTAACAACTCCCCTTTTGACAAACATTAAAGTATTGATTTAAAGACTGCAAATATAAACATGTGCTTTATAATTTTAATAATAAGAAGAAGAATCCTGTGAGCACCCATCAAGAAGAGAAAAAAAAAAAAACAACTAGGATTCATTGGCACTATGGAATCCATTCACTATGGATTCACCGGACTATGGAATATTACCTAACTACTACAGTAAATAACCATTATCTATTTCCATGCACCTTGAAAGTTAACAAAACATGTTAAGCGAAAAAATAAACTACAAAATTGTATTTGACTCAGAATTCCAAATAAGCAATAACTCCTTCACATCTACATTAGACAAATATTCCTATTATTCCCATTGGACAGATGAGAGGTATTAGCATTATCTTAGAAAAACACATGCACTCTTTTTCAGCCTTCTGATTAACATCACGTGCAGAAAAATGTATACAAAGACACATTTAATTCATTTAACATTTGAATAATATAAATACCACGTGTTGAGGGTGTAAGGGTCAGAAGGAAAGGTAGAGTCATCAGTTCCTTTCCTCATTGCTGGGACCAAACATCTAACGTGAAGAACTTGAAAGACAAGGGGTTTCCATTGGGAGACAGTTCAGGTACAGCCCATCGCAATGA